AGCAGAACAGCCCAGTTTTCTGCAAACACTCAACGGAAAAGCAAGTAAAGGAATTATTAGAAAACGAACACACACACAAAAGTAAAAAAAAAGATATTCGAATTAAAAGAGAAAGCTGGTAAACAGATTATTAATTCATTCACCCATGGGGGATGTACGCAAATATAATTATGTTAGTATAACCATTATTATTATTATTTACCCTCAGACGAGTCCCACTGTTCAGTACACGGTAGCGGAAAACAACACAGCCACAATCAGTATCGGGGCTGCAGTGCGCATCCACACAGGACTGAAACTGCTGTCAGCATTAGCCTTGTTCTTCTGTACAATGGGGTCAATGCTGCTGATCTCTGCGTTAGGTACAGGAACAGAAGATGGAGTGGTGGTTGGTGCATCTGTGGTAGTATTAGTGGTGGTGGTCGTTATATCAGCATTGCCATTTACCTGTGAACTTTCTGTGCCAGTCGTTCCAGCGGCTGCAGAAGACTGCTCGGTAGTATTATAATCGCTCGATGTTGTTTTATCTCCTGTTTTGTCTGACAATTGTTGGTTATGTTGTGCAGCTGCATTAGACTGTTGAGGTTGGCTTTGTTCTTCCGCAGTTAGAGTGGCTCCGTCTGCGGTGTTACTCCTGTTCACTTGAGTTGTTGAAGTATCAGACGTAGTGTCACGATTATTTCCATCTTCTGTGGACTGAGAATCGGCACGTGTTGGCTTTTCTTGATCCATATTCTTCAGCGCAGAGTGTTCTACTTGTGCAGATATTTCTGAGTCTCTAGGGAGTGTATCTCCTGTACGACCCAGATCCGGTGTTACCGCACCTGGTGCTTGATGATCACCCAAATTTAGTGTGCCAGAAGAACTGCTTGTGGTACCAGTGTTAGATCTTCCAGTAGAGCGTGACACAGGGTAGTGAGATTCTTCATTATGGAGAGATATGAAGATGCGATCACTAACTTGACTTCCAGGAGTAGTACAAGGTCGTCCAGTAGTTTTAGAAAATCCAGTAGAGCAATCAGAATCAGTATCAGCACCGGGTGCTTTAACAGTATCCGAGTCAGCTTTCACATAAAAAGAGGCAACACTCAGCAGAAAAACCAGCAAACACACAACGGGTCGCATCATCATGGCAATAGTAATTCTTGGTTGTTTTACGTCACTTTGTTAAAGGAAAGAAAAATGGAACAGAGAGAAGAAGTAAAAAAAAGATCCCATACAATAGAATCAAAAAAAAAAGGTAGAGAACACAATAGAAACAAAAGTAAACATAATACAACACTTCCAGTATAAACAATACGGTATCCAGTAAAGAGGCACCACAAAAATCCCAAGAAAAGAAGTAAAGAAAAAGAAATTAAAAGCACAACGAAAGCCCAACAAACACACAATAACAAAGAAGAATGTGTATGCTGGGGATTATAAGCAATAATAAAATTATATGTAACAATAACTGTTTTTTCTTTTCTCTATTCAAAGTAGATAATCATAACAATACAGCACAAAAGCACTAGCAAACCACAAGCAAAGAAACAGATATTAAACATTAGCCCAATTTATACAGTAAACACAGAAATATACACCAACTATGGGTATAAGTCTATATGTGTATATATACGCAATTATAAATATAAATTCACCTATTATTATTATTTCCTTTTTTCCCACTGCAAAAAGCAGTTCATTATCATCATTATCACAGTGCAAGCCCAGGTACACACACAGAGAGAGAGTCTCCAAGAACACACACAATGGAGCAGCAATAATAATTATTATAGGATAAACACACAAAACACATTAACATTAAGAAACAAAAAAAAGAAAAGAAATCCCAACAGGTGAAAGATTAGTTAGACTGTAGGGATTATATGCAAAAAAAGAAAAGAAAGGATGACCTGAGTCACACCATCAGCATCACCACTAGAATCAGCACACAAGAATACAGGCCAGTGTAACCACAATCAGTAGTGGTACACGCACCCACACAGAACTGCTGATACTGCTGCTGCTGTCTGCATCACCCTTCTTGTTGTTTGTGAGTTCAGGAGGAATTGTTGTTGTTGTTGTTGTGGTGGTTGATTCTTCATTGCTGGGTGTGTTGGGGTCAGAACTCGTGTTCGCTGCGTTACTGTTTTCACCTTTACCGTTGTTTGATTGAGGTTCCTGTGAAGAAGGTGCTGGTTCCTGCGAGTCACTGGTCTCCTGAGGTTCAGTACCCCCTGTACTGTGCACATTAGAAGAATTGGATTGTGCTTCATTTTCAGTTCCCTCCATCTGGTCGTCTTTGCTGTTCTGTTTGACTTCACCTTGAACATCATCTCTCTGATCACTGCCATCCTCTGCGGGAGTACCACTCTTACTCGGTTGTGTTAATGTTCCATCAACACGTGTGAGTTGTTCATTATGTGCTGTAGAAGTTACAACAGCTGAAGAAGAAACTTCAGAAGAAGACGAAGTGATTCGCAAATCAGACGGTTGTGCCGGATTGCTCTCCCTTATGTCAGCGTGAATATCATTCTCAGGATTCTCTCTATCTTGTTGACCTCCGTCATGCTTTTCAGTTTTCTCTTTCTTCTCCTTTCCATTTTTCTCGACCTCAGGGGTTTTCACATCCACTTTGGGGTTCTCTAGAGGCTTCGCACGTTCAATAACAGCGCCACCTTCTTCGGGATTATCTATGCCAGGACCAATACCATCACCATGTGTGGTTTTTAATCTTAATGCTGGATCCTGACCACCAGATGGACCCTGACCAACAACAGGAAAAACAAGGTTTTCAAGAGAAGAAGGCACATCTGCAGCTTTAACCTCAGCCACTACACACAGAGAGGCAACGTTCAGCACCAAAAAGAGACAAAACAACCAATGCCTCAAAACCACCATTGTTAAAACTTTTGCAATGTTGAATAACGGAAGAGCTGAATAACTAAAAAAGAAAACATGTAGCAAAAACAAGAAGAAAGTACAATATACACACACGCACAAAAACGGTGGAACAAAACACAATACCATTAACACAAATAACAAAGCGTCCAATACAGATGAACCACATACACAATTCCCAAGAAACAAAAAAAAACAGAAAAAGGTAAATCAAATGCACACACAAAAACTCCCACTAAAACTTCCAGCAAAATACAGTTATGTTTACGTTCATATGCAATTACTAGCACATGTGTATCAGCTATTGCTGTTTCTCTCCAGAGAGCATTAAATCATCATCAGTGGATCAGGGCACCAAACACACAACGCCTCCAGATATACCATAAGCAAAGAAAAAGATATGAACTATAAGCCCAACGTACCTCAGTAAACACAGAAATACACACTATGGGTGTAAGTCTATATGTGTGTCTAAGCAATTATAAATATAAATTCATCTGTTATTATTATTTCCTTTTTCCTCTCACTGCAAAAAGCAGTTCATCATCATCATCATAATTATCACAGTGGAAGCTCAGGCGCACACAGAGAGAGTCTCCAAGAACACACACACACACAATGGAGTAGCAATAATAATTATAGGATAAACATAAAGAGAGCAAAAACACACACAAAACACATTAACATTAAGAAACAAAAAACAATTCCAACAGGTAAAAGATTAGTTAGACTGTAGGGATGTATGCAAAAAGAAAAAGAAAACAAAGGATGACCTGAGTCACACCACCACCACACCACCATTACAATCAGCATACAAGAATACAGGCCAGTGTAACCACAATCAATAGTGGTACACGCACCCATACAGAACTGCTGATACTGCTGCTGCTGTCTGCATCACCCTTCTTGTTGTTTGTGATTTCAGGAGGAAGTGTTGTTGTTGTTGTGGTGGTGGTGGTAGTTGTAGTGGTTGTAGTGGTGCCCGCATTTTCCACACTTTCTTGGGTACCTGTTGACTCACTCCCTGCAGATGAAGTGCCATTCCCAGGTGTTGCAGCATCAGAACCAACATCACTCCCTGTGGCGGAAGTGGTAGGAGAGTCAGCAGAAGGTTGTGTTCCCTCAGCAGTTCCCTGGTTATCTGCTGCAGTGGATGTATGGTTGTCGCTGTTTCGAGGTTGAGGATCACTAGCAGGAGCAGAAGCAGCAGGTGGAGGAGATGCAGTAGAATGATTAGAAGAAGAAGAAGTATCATCAGTACCAGAACCAGAACCAATCCCAAGACCAGCTTCACCTAATGTAACGTGAGCACCAGTCCTATCAGTAGCAAGATGACCGTGTTTATTTGAAGGCGCTTCAAGAAGAGCACCATGTCCAGGCTTTTCAGGGATAGATATTCTTGGTTTAGTTGGAGTCAGTTCCTCTGGTGCAGTTGTACAAGGAAGATTAGAAGAATTCTGAGTGCAAGTGGCACCAGGCGCAGATTGCTGATGAGGAAGGGTAGGAGGTTGTTGGGGTTGAACACCAGGAGCGATGTCAGCACCCCGAACCCCAGTTTCAGAGAGAGAATCAGAAGAAGAACTATGACCACCAGAACCAGGATCACCAGTAGTTAGGTGTTGTGGTTGAGTTGCATCCGGTACTTTTGCTGATGCTGGGGAACAAGGCTGACCATCGGTTGAAACGGAAGAATTAGGAGGGCACGACGTCTCAGCAGAAGTAGTAAGACAACTACCGCCATCATCACTAACTACAGGAGAAAGACTAGCAGGATCCGTAGGACCGGCAGGACGGCGGTCAGTCTGTTGCACTTCAGTATGAAGAACTTTGGTTTCAGATGCAGTATCAGGAACAACACGATCACCACCTCCACCAGGAATCTCTGCAGATGCCACACATAGAGAGATAACACTCAGAAGCAAAGCTAGTATATAGAACACAAGGCGCAGCATCATGACAAAAGTTGTTCTTGTGACTCTCGTCACTTGAGTTCACAGATCTATGTAGGGAGTGTGGAAAAGAGAAACAAGAAGGAAGAGACAAAGAAAGAGACATACATAGTGAGTGGATACAGGACATGAATAGTAAACCACAAAGAAACTCACATCACGAAAAGAAAAAGCCACCAGTTAATAAATGCAATACAGCGCAATAACCTCAGTAAGAAAAAAAGAAAAAAAATCCCAAACTCAGAAAAAGTTCAAAAAAGGTTGAATCACGCAGCAAAATCATCAAGCAAAACAACACATATTAAACATTAGCCCAACTTACACAATGAAAACACAGAAATATACACCAACTATGGGTATAAGTCTATACGTTTGTATATCCGCAATTATAAATATAAATTCATCTGTTATTATTATCTTCTTTTTCCCATTGCAAAAAAGCAGTTCATCATCATTATCAGAGTGCAAGCCCAGGCACACACACAGAGAGAGATACTCCAAGACCACACACACACACACAATGGAGTAGCAATAATAATTATTATAGGATAAACACACAGAGAGCAAAAACACACAAAACACATTAACATTAAGAAACACAAAAAAGAAGAATATAATCCCAACAGGTGGAAGATTAGTTAGAGTGTAGGGATGCATGCAAAAAGAAGAAAAGAGAAAACAAAGGATGACCTGA